GACGGAATTACGTTGGAAGTTCCGGCGGAATTGTGATAGAACCTCCAGTGGTCACCTTCCGGTGAATCTTTCCAAGTGGGTAAAGAAATTAGTTCTTAAAAACGGTTGCTTGAGTCGACCCATTTGGAAAGATTCCTCGGAAAGTGCCCCCTGGAGATTTTATCAGAATTCCGCCGGAACTTCAAACGTAATTCCGTCGGAGTTCCATCGGAGTTTCAAAGAATTTCCCATGGGATTCTGGCGGAATTCCGAATTAATTTTTTTCAAAAATTTTAGAGTCCTAATTCCGTCGGAACTTTGGCGGAATCCTATCGGAAATTCTTTGGAACTCCAACGGAATTCCGGATTAATTTTTTTTTAAATTTTTAGAGTCCTAATTCCTTTGGAATTCCGTCGGAATCCCATCGGAAATTCTTTGGAACTCCGATGGAATTCCGATGGAATTACGTTAAAAGTTCCGGCGGAATTCTGAAAGAACCTCCAGGGGGCACTTTCCGGGGAATCTTTCCAAGTGTGAATGACTAGAAAACAAAATATGAAATATTCTTCCCACTTGGAAAGATTCCCCGGAAAGTGCCCCCTGGAGGTTCTTTCAGAATTCCGCCGGAACTTCCAACGCAATTCCATCGGAATTCCATCGGAGTTCCAAAGAAATTCCGATGGGATTCCGACGGAATTAGGACTCTAAAAATTTTGAAAAAAATTAATCCGGAATTCCGTTGGAAATTCTTTGGAACTACGATGATATTTCGACGGAATTACGTTGGAAGTTCCGGCGGAATTCTGATAGAACCTCCAAGGGGTCACTTTCCAGGGAATCTTTCCAAATGGAGGAAGTTTAATTAATTCAAATTTTCATAATTTTTTTAAATTTCAAATATCAATTCGCAAAATTTGTGATTAACAATCAATGCGGAAATTATATTTGTGATTGGATTGTCGAAAGGAACCATTAGCTAAGATGCATTTAGTCGATAGTGAATGTAGTTACGTTAACGTTCGTCCAGTATTGAGGTTTGAGGAACAGCCATTATCCCTTATGCGGCTTCAGTTCTCTATACGTATATATATATTTGAACCAACCGTGGTTCGCCGAAACCGCTCTCGGCATAGGATCTATACGGCTATGCTTTCGGCTTTGATAATGATGATTGGAGTTTGGCCTGGACGCGCTTTCTGTTCTGGTTATTATAGCATCTAGTTTCACGGGTCTTAGATCGACTAGTGCCCAAGACAACGAAATTTCCAGCCCTTTCATCATTTGGCTAAGCTTCAAAATTTAATTACCCTAAAATTAATGTTCATCCATCAAAAAAGACTTTAATTTTACAAATTTCAACAATTATTGGCAAATAATTAAAATTCATTGTGTTTAATTAAGAATAAAAAGTTTTATTATTTATTTGTAATTATTTTCTTTACATTTGTTACAGGTATAGGAGAAGCATCTGTAAAAAAAATTTATAAGAAAAGTAAATCGTGACAAAATTCTTTTATCTCGAATAAATGGGAATAGAAGTCTATTTGACTATGAAAGATTCCCTGGAAAATGCCACCTAAAGGTTCTATCAGAATTCCGCCGGAACCTCCAATGTAATTCCGTCGGAATTTCATCGGAGTTCCAAAAAATTTGCCGGTGGAATTCCGACGGAATTCTAACGGAACCTCCAACGTAATTCCGTCGGAATCCCATCGGCAAATTCTTTGGAACTCCGACGGAATCCCATCGGAATTTCTTTGGAACTCCAACGGAATTACGTTGGAAGTTCCGGCGAAATTCCAAAGAATTTCCGATGGGATTTCGACGGAATTCCGGATTAATTTTTTACAAAAATTTTAGAGTCCTTATTCCGTTGGAACTCCGTCGGAATCCCATTGGAAATTCATTGGAATTCCGACGGAATTACGTTGGAAGTTCCGGCGGAATTCTGATAGAACCTCCAGGAGGGAACCTTCCGGGGAATCTTTACAAGTGGGTAAGGAAATTAGTTCTTAACAACGGTTACCTGGGTCGACCCGCTTGGAATGATTCCCCGGAAAGTGCCCCTTGGAGATTCTATCAGAATTCCGTCGGAACTTCCAACGTAATTCCATCGGAGTTCCAAAGAATTTCCGATAGGATTCCGACGGAATTCTGATGAAATTCCGGATTAATTTTTTTCAAAATTTTTAGAGTCCTAATTCCGTTGGAACGCCGTCGGAATCTCATCGGAAATTCTTTGGAAATCCGATGGAATTCCGACGGAATTACGTTGGAAGTTCCGGCGGAATTCTGATAGAACCTCCAGGAGGCACTTTCCGGGCAATCTTTCCAAGTGGGCAGAATTTCAAACAATTATAGTAAATTCTGAGAATAAATTCTCGTCTAATAAATATATATATATATGTATTTAGTATATAATTTGAATTAAAGTTGTCTTTAAGTAAATACCCCTCGTGAGACAATCATCACGAACTAATTATCTGATTCTCCCTTCCAACATGTTTTGTTGCCGTCAGCTCCCTTGAGGAATTGGTCTTGAGAGAGTCACGTAAACGACATAAAACGGCAAACGGATTAAACCTATAAACTTCGTGACACATTAAAATTGTTCATTTAAAATAAAATAGATACACAAGATGGTGGAATTTTTTAACAAACTTTTTTGCAATTATTTTATTTTTTTTTGTACTTAATTGGGAATTGAAAAAAAATTTTAATGAAAAAAAATACCTTTTTTCTTGAACCTTGGGAGTATAAGTTGTTAGTTAAAAATTCATTTTCGTCAGTTTTTATAGCGTTCAATAAATTAGATAACTTTTGTATTTTACCTTACTATACGAACGCTGAGATTTTTTTTTTTTTTTACGACAGTCATAACTTTACTTCGAAAAGCCACTTATTTTTATCAAACCAATCTTGATTCTCCCACCAATCTCCATCCCCTTCATCATATCTTGATCTTGTGAATATTACTTTTTAAACTCGTATCTTACTATATAAAATAGAATCGAGATTCAATTATTATTTTCGAAAAAAATTTTTTAATATTTAGATAGTTTTTTTAATAGAAAGTTAAAGAAAAAAAAAAGGAGTTGAATTTTAATCAATTAGTGTAGTTAAATCATTTAACGTCATGCCAATATTTGTCAATTGAGAGAGGTACTTTGGAGAGAAGGTATATATATATATATATATATTGAGGCGATGAATAGCAACGTGGGGGTAGGAGTTTGAAATCGGTCCGTTAAATGGATTCGACGACGCGAAACGGGCGTTTAATTCCACGAATCAGTCTGGAATTTCGTGACCAGGCAGGTCACAAGGACTCTTTGGATGCCGCATTTCCCTCGGGAGTCACACGCTTCCCGAGATCCTCTCCCCTTTTGCTTTTGCGGGTCACCCCGTTCTCGCTTCCAAGATAGAAATTGGTCGACGTGTGAATAGCGAGCATTCTATTGATTGCGTTTTTTTTTTTTTTTTTTTTTTTTCTTTCTTTTTTTCTGCAAAACACTCTATTGATAGGACATAAATCAAACTCTCCGTAAACCGACGTTTCTTCTCTTTCAAAGGATCGACAGTTTTCAATCTAATGGGGCTTTTTAAAAAGTTCAGCGAGTGTTACGAAAAATGAATATTCTTTTTCAGGCTCTACTTTTCATCTACTATATCAATATATCAAAAAAAAAAAAAAAAAATAGATTTTCAATAAAAGAATAAAAAATATTTTACTGGGATTTAGATATTTAAAAAAAAGCCGTCCGACAAAATTCAACTTTCTTTTTTGACCCACAAAAAAATCCAACATTTTCGGAAACTAGGACCCAAAAAAAAAAAATACCCGTGTCTGGCCGTTTTGCTAGATCGTTTGTGGTTTTTAGGGGTGAAAACAGCACCTAAATAAAAAGTGACAAGATATCTTTTAAAAATTATTAATATTTTATAAAACTTGGTATCTGGGGGTTTTCGGGGTCGCTGATTATTAATCTGATGTCAGATTTTCAAAATTCAAAATGACGGATTCAATATGGCGGTCAAAATTTTAAAAAGTTATTAAATTTTTTTTAAACATTGGTTTCTAGGGGTTTTTTGGGTCGCTGATGACGAATCTGATGTTCAATTTTCAAAATTCAAAATGGCGGATCGAATATGGCGGACGACTTTTTGAAAATCTAATGCAATTCGCTTGAAACTTGTTACACGGGGGTTTTTGGAGTCGCTAATTACGAATCTGAAGTCAGTTTTCAAAAATTAAAAATGGCGGATCCAATATGGCGACTAAATTTCATAAAATTAATTAAATTCACTTGAAAATTGTCACTCGGGGGTTTTTGGGGTCGCTGATTACGAATCCGATGATAGTTTTCAAAAATTCAAAATGGCGAATTCAATATGGCGACTAAATTTCATAAAATATATTAATTCACTTGAAAATTGCTACTCGGGGGTTTTTTGGGTCGCTGTTTACGAATCTGAAGTCAGTTTTTAAAAATTCAAAATGGCGGATCTAATATGGCGGACGATTTTTTGAAAACTTAATGCAATTTGCTTGAAACTAGTTACTAAGGGGTTTTTTGGGGTCGCTGATTGCGAACCTAATGCAATTCGCTTAAAAACTTGTTCTCGGGGGTTTTAGGAGTCGCTGATTACGAATCTGAAGTCAGTTTTTCAAAATTCAAAATGGCATATATAAAATAAAAAATTAATAACTTTTTAAAAGTTTGATCGCCATATTGGATCCGCCATTTTGAATTTTAAAAATCTAACATCAGATTTATAATCAGTGACCCCGAAAACCCCCAGATACCAAGTTTTATAAAATATTAATAATTTTTAGATATCTTGTCACTTTTCATTTAGGGTTTGTTTTCACCCCTAAAAACGACAAACGATCTAGCAAAACGGCCAGACAGGGGTATTTTTTTTTTTTTTTTTGAGTCCTAGTTTCCAAAAATGTGAAATTTTTTTGTGGGTCAAAAATTGTGTCGGATGGTGTTTTATTAATAAATAAAAAACATACCCTCTATCAGTTGGTGAAAATCCTCATGAAAATCTGTAACATAAATTAATTTAAATTAAAACAATGAATAGTAATTAAAAAAAAACAAAACTATTTTATTGATCAAAAACATTTTTTTTTCTATTATGGTCAAACACCATATATACAAAACTGATATCTAGGTCAAACTGAACATTTGTCTGAAACCAAAACAATTTATCGTTGTCTCACACGTTCGGCAGAACAGGAACGATATCGTCCATGTGTGTTTGACAAGGTCACAAGGACAGTGACATGTTGAGAATGATATTAATCAAGGATTTTTTGTTTTTCAACACTTTTAGTTTTAGATCGAGAAAAAAATTGCTAATTATAAATTTCTCTTTAAAAAAAAACTAAAAAAAAAAAATAACAAAAATATAGCACTTAATAAATAATTCATGTTTCCGTGTAGAGGAATACATTATAGCGTAATTTATTTTTTTTTACGATCTGTCATGTTTATATATCCGTTCTCTCACTTCTCTGTGCGCGCGTGTTACGTGTTAGAACGAAGGGATCAGCTTGCTTATGTACTAGACAGCTAATGAAAATGTCATAAATTTTCCCTCCTAACTTTATACACACACCCCTTTAAGCATGGATCTTTTTATTTTATAAATGCCTCTAAATCGGGTTTCATTATATATACATGTATATATTATATATATTTTATGAGAATTATCAAACAAGCTCGCCAGTCATAATAAGTTTATTGGATCTATTTTACTCAGCGCTTTTAGCGAATGAGAGAGCTTCAGTTATTTTTTTTTTCCTGAAAAAAAAGGGTAATTTTTACAAAAAAAACTAGGACAGAAATTAAAATGGCGCTGTTTTTACTCAAAAACTAGAGCAAAAATTACAATTTTTAAAATTCTCATCTATTTTTTTTTTGTAGAAATAGAGCAAAAATGGCGCAATTTAATATCTGCTCCAATTTTACGGAAAAGTAAAGAGATTAAAATGGCACTATTGTAATTTGGCGGCATTTTAATTTTTGTTCTAGTTTTTGAATAAAAAAAAAGGTCAGAAATTAACATGGCACTGTTATATTTTTGCGCCATATTAATTTCTGTCATATTTTTACGAAAAACAAGAGCAAAAATTAAAATGGCGCCAAATTACAATGCTGCTATTTTAATTTTTTCTCTACTTTAACAAAAATAAGAGAAAAAACAGTGCCATTTTAATTTCCTATCAATTTTTACGAAAAACAAGAACACAAATAAAAATGGCGCTGTTTTTGATCAAATCTTTACGTAAAACTAGAGCGGAAATTAAAATGGCGCTGTTTTTGCTCTATTCTTCGTAAAAGTAGAGAAGAAATTAAAATGCCACCATTGTAATTTGGCGCCATTTTAATTTTTGCTTCCGTTTTAATGGAAAATTTTGAGCAAAAACAGCAACATTTTTATTTGTGTTCTTGTTTTTCGTAAGAATTGATCAGAAATTAAAATAGCGCTGTTTTTGTTCAAATTTTACTGCAATAACTAGAGCTGAAATTAAAATTCAATTTTAAATTCTGATCTTGTTTTTGCGGCAAAATTTGAATAAATACAGCACCATTTTAATTTCTGATCAATTTTTACGAAAAAGTTTGAACAAAAATAGCGCCATTTTAACTTCTGCTCAGGTTTAACGTAAAAATAGGACAGAAATTTAAATAGCGCCAAACTACAACGGTGCCATTTTAATTTCTGCTCTTGTTTTACGGAAAATTTTGAGCAAAATCAGCGCCAATTTATTTTCTGCTCTACTTTTACGGAAATATTTGATCAAAAACAGCGACATTTTAATTTGTGTTCTTGTTTTGCGCAAAAATTGATCAGAGATTAAAATGGCACTGTTTTTGCTCTATTTTTTGTTAAAGTAGAGAAAAAATTAAAATGGCAACATTGTAATTTGGCGCCATTTTAATTTTTGCTCTTGTTTCTCGTAAAAATATGACAGAAATTAATATGGCGCAAAAATATAACAGTGCCATTTTAATTTCTGACCTTTTTTTTTATTAAAAACTAGAACAAAAATTAAAATGGCGCCAAATTACAATAGTGTCATTTTAATTTCTTCTCTACTTTTACGAAAAATAGAGCAAAAACAGCTTCATTTTAATTTCTGATCAATTTTTACGAAAAACAAGAACACAAATAAGAATGTTGCTGTTTTTGCTCAAAATTTTCCATTAAAACGGAAGCAGAAATTAAAATGGCACCATTGTAATTTGGCGCCATTTTAGTTTTTGTTCAAGTTTTTTATAAAAAAAAAAGAATAGAAATTAAAATGGCACCGTTGTATTTTGGCCCTATTTAAATTTCTGTTTTATTTCTACAAAAAACTAGATTAGAATTTAAAATTTAATTTTAATTTCTGCCCTAGTTTATGCGTCATAATTTGAACAAAAATAGCGCCATTTTTAATTTTTGACCATTTTTGACAGAAAACAAGAACACAAATAAAAATGGCGCTGTTTTTAATAAAACATTTCCGTAAAATTAGAGCAGAAATTAAAATGGCGCTGTTTTTGATTAAAATTTCCCAGGAAAAAACAAGAGCAGAAATTAAAATGGCACTATTATATTTTTGCGCCATATTAATTTCTGTCCTATTTTTACGAAAAACTAAAGCAGAAATTAAAATGGCACCAAATTACAATATTTCAATTTCTACTCTAGTTTTTCGTAAAAGTAGGATAGAAATTAATATGGCCCAAATATATAACAGTGCCATTTTAATTTCTTCTCTAGTTTTACGGAAAATTTTGACCAAAAACTGCGCCATTTTAATTTCTGCTTTAGTTTTACGGAAACATTTAATTAAAAACAGCGCCATTTTTATTTGTGTTCTACTTTTTCCTAAAAATTGATCAGCAATTAAAAGTGGCGCGGTTTTTTCTGTTTTTTTTTTTTTCTAGAAAAACTAGAGCAAAAATTATCATGTCGCTAAATTACAACAATTCCATTTTAATTTCTTCTCTATTTTTATGGAAATTCGTTTTCCCTGTAGTTTTAGTTCAACCCAACTACCCAGGTGCGAATTTCGGTCGGCCGCCAGAGTTGGTTCGTCGGCCCATGGTCGGCCCAACTCTGGCTGCCGACCGGTCGGCAGCCAGAGTTGGGCCGACCATGGTAAATATTTGCACCCAAAGTTGGGCCGACTATGGCTGCCGACGTCGGCAGTCACAGTTGGGCCGACCATTGCAGCCATAGTTGGGCCGACTATGGGGGATTATGGTCGGCACAACCTTGGCAGCCATAGTTGGGCCAACCTTGGCTGCCATAGTTGGGCCGACCAGGGGGGGTAATGGTCGGTCCAACTATGGCAGCCACAGTTGGGCCAACCATGGCTGCCATAGTTGGGCCGACCATGGGGGTAATGGTCGGCACAACCTTGGCAGCCACAGTTGGGCCGACTAAGGGGAAAATGGTTGGCACAACCTTGGCAGCCATAGTTGGGCCAACCTTGGCTGCCATAGTTGGGCCGACCATGGGGGACAATGGTCGGTACGACCTTGGCAGCCAAGGTCGGTCCAACCTTGGCTGCCATAGTTGGGCCGACCATTCTTCCCCATAGTCGGCCAAACTATGGCAGCCAGAGTTGGGCCGACCATGGTAAATATTTGCACCCAAAGTTGGGCCGACTATGGCTGCCGACGTCGGCAGTCACAGTTGGGCCGACCATTGCAGCCATAGTTGGGCCGACTATGGGGGATTATGGTCGGCACAACCTTGGCAGCCATAGTTGGGCCAACCTTGGCTGCCATAGTTGGGCCGACCAGGGGGGGTAATGGTCGGTCCAACTATGGCAGCCACAGTTGGGCCAACCATGGCTGCCATAGTTGGGCCGACCATGGGGGTAATGGTCGGCACAACCTTGGCAGCCACAGTTGGGCCGACTAAGGGGAAAATGGTTGGCACAACCTTGGCAGCCATAGTTGGGCCAACCTTGGCTGCCATAGTTGGGCCGACCATGGGGGACAATGGTCGGTACGACCTTGGCAGCCAAGGTCGGTCCAACCTTGGCTGCCATAGTTGGGCCGACCATTCTTCCCCATAGTCGGCCAAACTATGGCAGCCACAGTTGGGCCGACTAGGGGGAGAATGGTCGGCATGACTTTGAAAACCGCAGTTGGGCCGACTACGGGGAATGTAGTCAGCATGACTGGCAGCCGAGTATATCGATGGTCGGTATATCAAGGATTACAGAATTATTTTTCTCAAAAGAAACACGATCCCAGGTGCGAATTTCGGTCGGCCGCCAGAGTTGGTTCGTCGGCCCATGGTCGGCCCAACTCTGGCTGCCGACCGGTCGGCAGCCAGAGTTGGGCCGACCATGGTAAATATTTGCACCCAAAGTTGGGCCGACTATGGCTGCCGACGTCGGCAGTCACAGTTGGGCCGACCATTGCAGCCATAGTTGGGCCGACTATGGGGGATTATGGTCGGCACAACCTTGGCAGCCATAGTTGGGCCAACCTTGGCTGCCATAGTTGGGCCGACCAGGGGGGGTAATGGTCGGTCCAACTATGGCAGCCACAGTTGGGCCAACCATGGCTGCCATAGTTGGGCCGACCATGGGGGTAATGGTCGGCACAACCTTGGCAGCCATGGTTGGCCCAACTGTGGCTGCCATAGTTGGGCCGACCATTCTTCCCCATAGTCGGTCCAACTATGGCAGCCACAGTTGGGCCGACTAAGGGGAAAATGGTTGGCACAACCTTGGCAGCCATAGTTGGGCCAACCTTGGCTGCCATAGTTGGGCCGACCATGGGGGACAATGGTCGGTACGACCTTGGCAGCCAAGGTCGGTCCAACCTTGGCTGCCATAGTTGGGCCGACCATCATAAAGTAAATTTCTCTCCTACCATTGACAAATGTAAAATGTTTTTGTTAATTTACTTGTAATTGATTAATTTAAAAAGAAAAAAGGTTATATGTGATTAATTTATTATTTTGAATTACTAACTTTAATTTTTTTCAAGCTGTAGCTTATAACATTTATTTTTCTCCGTGACTCATATGTCATTGCGTAGTGTAGTGGTTAGCGTATTAGACTGCGGTGCGTTAGGTTGCGAGTTCGATCCCTGCGAGCGTTAAAAATTTTAATTTGTATATATGTATGTTTACGATTGCGTTTAGTGTTTAAGTATATAAAATAAATGTATAATGAATTTAAAATGATTACTAATATATGTTATTTGTATAACAAATTTTTATATTTTAATGTTTATGGTCGGCAAAATTTTAGCTGCCAAGGTTGGCCCAACCATGGCAGCCATAGTCGGGCCGACTATGGCTGCCGACCGTCAAGTTGGATGGTCGGCAGCCAAGGTTGGCCCAACTATGGCTGCCATGGTCGGCCCGACTATGGCTGCCGACCGTCGGCAAGGATGGTCGGCCCAACTAGGGCAGCCTTGGTCGGCCCGACTATGGTACCCATAGTCGGTCCAACTTAGTCGACCATAGGTCGGCCGACGTTATCAATTCGCTAGTTGGCCCGACCTCTGGCTGCCCGAGGTGGGCCGACCATGCACATGGTCGGCCCGACCATGGGCCGACCGACAATTCGCACCTGGGTATAGTGTACTTAATATTATAGTTTTGAGAATAATTTTCTTTTTTTGGAATTCTCACTTTTTCTTAATACTTTCTCTCTATCTCGTACGATATAAGAAACTGTTTACTCTTGTTAAACTTGTAGAGGAAAGTAAAAAGAAAAAAAAAAAAAAAAAAAAATCTTTCGGGAAAGTTGTTATTGCCTGTGGCGTTTTCCAACTTGGAGAACGTCACGCCTAATAATTATTTGTAGCTGTAATGAAGAGAGACGACCTTACAACTTGGGAGAGCTAGAGAGAGAGAGAGAGAGAGAGAGGGCGCGAGCTTGAGGCAACGAAGTTACGTCGGAAGCAACCAATCTACCCTATTTCCATCAGTTTGTCTACAAAGTTGATGGGTTTGAATTCAACGGTAGTTGTAATTTACATGTTTTTAACTTGATCGTCTCTTCTTTTTTTTTTCTTAAATAAAATCAAAAAGAGATTATAAATTATCTTTTCTATATTCTTTGCGTGATTAATTTTATCATCTTTTATAATATTAATGATGATGATGATGATGATGATAATTGATCATCGGATCAATCTTGTGCATTATTCAAGAATTGAGGAGACATTGTTGACAAAGGATGTTACGGATCGTGTTTATGAAAGCGACTGAGTTTGCAACTAGCGTTGGTTTGTAAACTACCTTGATCCATTCGCTTCCCAGCAAATAGTGACTTAGGTTAGGTTATTTGCCCTGTTTACAAAGGTTTTAATCCCCCTATTGTGGTTCAAGTATAGAAGATACCATTGGTTTTAATCTATTTAATTGGAATGAAAGGTTAATTGTCTCATGAATTTAAATTTACTTTCTGATAAGGTGTTTGCGTTGTATTATTGAAAATATGAACAAGTTCAAATTGTGTATTTATATATATATATGGGGCATTCTATGGGAAATTTTCATTGAAAATTTTTTTTTCTCCGAAATATTTTTTTTCGAAATTTATATGAAAAATAAGGAAATAGGTATTTTTTTATTTTTTTTATTTGATGAAAATGAAGGAAGTTATGTTTTTTTTGAAATTTAACTTCAACGAAGAAAGTGTGTTTTTGGAACATTTTTTAATCTATTGTACTAAGAAATTAAACCTTTTTCCATTAACATTCATTTGTTTTTTTTTAATTTTCATAAAAACATATACTAAAAATCGTTGCGTCAAGCTTAAAAATTATAAATAGTAATTTAAAAACTAAAAATACCACTTTCGCAGATAGGGGAAAAAATTCTTCAATCATCAGAGATTCTAATGCAAAAAAAAAAATTAAAAATCGAAAGTGTCTTTTTTGAGAAAACTCACTTTATAAGTCACTTTCACTTTTTTATTTTCATTGCCGTTTCCACTTCCACTTTTTCTAATTCTCATTCCCATTTTCACTTTCACTTTTTATAATTTTCATGACCATTTTCACATCCACTTTTTTATTTACATTACCACTTCCACTTCCACTTTTTCTAATTCTCATTCGCACTTCCATTGTGGGAAAGTGAAAGTGAAATGTGAAAATGGGAATGAGAATTAGAAAAAGTGAATGAATATAAAAAACTGGAAGTGGAAATAGGAATGTGAATGAAAATTAGAAAAAGTGGAAGTGTCAATAAATATAAAAAAGTGGAAGTGAAAATGGGAATGAAAATTGGAATAAGTGGAAGTGGAAGTGAAAGTGGGAATAAGAATTAGAAAAACTGGTAGTGGCAATGAATATAAAAAATCGGAAGTGGAAATAGGAATGGGAATGAAAATTAGAAAAAGTGGAAGTGAAGTGGGAATGAGAATTAGAAAGAGTAGAAGTGAGAATGGAAGTGAGAATGAGAATTAGAAAAAGTATAAGTGGAAATGGGAATGAAAATTATAAAAAGTTTAAGTTCTGTGAAAATATATTTTAGAAACTCTTAATTTTTTTTATAGGTACTAACTTTAGTAATATTAGTAATGTTAGTAACATTAGTAACGTTAGTAACGATAATTTTTTCACCTGGGAGTACAATAGATTAAAAAATGTTCCAAAAACACACTTTCTTCGTTGACGTTAAATTTCAAAAAAAACATAACTTCCTTCATTTTCATCAAATAAAAAAATAAAAAAATACATATTTCCTTATTTTTCATATAGATTTCGAAATAAAATGTTTCGGACAAAAAAAAATTTTCAACGATAATTTCCCATCCCCATATATGCTTTCTAATAATAATGACCAAAGAGAAAGAAACAAATATACACAATACACTGAAAAAAAAAATTATTATTTGATTTAAATAAAAAAATTTTATTTACGCCAAATAATAGTCAAGTAACCAATTATTTGAATCAAATATATTTTATTTTTTCACATAGTATAACATGAATTGCAACAGAATTTAGAGATATATATGGCTATTTTCAGAATTATGAGTCTATTACTGCATCAAATGTTACACTTTCACGAGCACTTTACGTTTTATTGCATTCTGAGATTCCTCAGCAATTGCAAAAGTTTTTTTTTTTTTTTCATTTTAGAATCAATAAAATTAAATTTGAAATTTTTATTTAATAGAAATAGATATATATATACAAAAAGATTTATTCTCAAATAAATAGTTTCACAAGATACTGATAAAAAAAAATCATAAGATTATATTATTTTTGATAAGAAATCCGTGACTTGAAATTGTAAACAAAAATATTACCTAAAATTGTATTATTTTCTTTGTGAATAATTCTTATTTTTTTTAGAAATAAGAATTTTTTTTTAAATTATGCAATCTATATATTTGAATTTATTTTTTAATTATATCAACATCGTAATTAATGTCTGATTAATTACATTTTTGATGAAATATAAATCGTTGATAAATATATTTTACAGATTACCAATTTATTGATAAGTAGATAAATTTAATAATAATAATAATTTTTATTTTCTACATAAATTTCTATTTATTGAATATTAATACCTAAAATTTGATTTTTCATTAAAAATCAATATCAAAAAAAAAATATTATACACGTGTATGTTTCAAAAAAATTTTTCATTGAGAAATTTTACTTCTAAAATATATCTACAATTGACAATATATAGACAAGATATCGAATTTGATAAAAATGTATATTCTGTCTAATAATAAGTGATCGACAATTTTATCATTTGAAATAGATAAGAAAATATATAAAATGAAGAACATCTTTCCTAAGTGATATTGTATTAAGAAAATGGTCATTCGGTGTTTATTTATTTTTGCCCTTGTGGCATTTGTGAGTTCACGTAATGTTGATTCTTCTCCCTTTAAGGGGTAAGTATTTAAAAATTATTTTCAAAAAAAAAAAAAAAAAAAATTAAGACTTAAAATTTTTTTAAATTTATTTAAAATATTAAATTTTCCTATTAATTTTTAAGGACGCAAGGTCTTTGGATTACGTGCGATAATCAAGAAAAATTAAATTTTGTTCTTCAATATAAAGAAGTTCCTGGTTTTGATTTTATTAAAATTACCCGTCTTCCTGAGGAAAATGTTCATATTTTAGTAGCAGCTCAGCAATTATCATTTTTCAAAAAATCACTTGATTACAAAAATATTAAATATAATGTTGTAATTGATGATTTTCAAGAATTAATCAATGAAGAATCACGTTCACAAAGAAATGCTCGATCTAATGAATTTACTAAACCTTATGATTTCACTTATTTTCCACGTCACGAAGAAGTAAGTAGAAAAAAAAATATTTATATATATGAGGCTTTGTCAACTAAAGCCACCTTCTGCCCATAAAATAGTTTAAATATAGAAAATCGGGCATAGGCTTATTACACTTCAATAAAAACAAATACTTTTTTCGATGTCGTGTGGCGTTTTTGAAAATTCAAAATGGCGGATCTAATATGGCGACTAACTTTTATAAAATTCATTAAATTTACTTAAAAATTGCTACTCGGGGGTTTTTGGGGTCGCTAATTACGAATCCGATGATAGTTTTCAAATTCAAAATGGCGGATCCAATATGGCGACTAAATTGATGGCAAATGGTTTCTTAAGTACAAACGTCTATTACTTCTAGGGTAACACTAGATTTGTAATCAGCGAACCTAAAAACCCCTAAGTATCGAATTTCTGAAGAATCTGATTAAATTTTGAACATTAATCCATTAATTTTGACGCCATATTGGATTCGCCATTTTGAATTTTTGAAAACTATCATCGGATTCGTAATTAGCGACCCCAAAAACCCCCGAGTGACAATTTTCAAGTGAATTTAATTAATTTTATGAAATTTAGTCGCCATATTGGATTCGCCATTTTGGATTTTTAAAAACTGACTTCAGATTCGCAATCAGCGACCCCAAAAACCCCTGAGTAACAAGTTTCAAGCGAATTTAATTAATTTTATGAAATTTAGTCGCCATATTGGATCCGCCATTTTTAATTTTTGAAAACCATCACCGGATTCGTAATCAGCGACCCCAAAAACCCCCGAGTAGCAATTTTCAAGTGAATTTAATTAATTTTATAAAATTTAATCGCCATATTGGATTCGCCATTTTGAATTTTTAAAAACTGACTTCAGATTCGCAATCAGCGACCCCAAAAACCCCCGAGTAATTAGTTTCAAGCGAATTTAATTAGATTTTCAAAAAGTCGTCCGCCATATTGGATTCGCCATTTTGAATTTTTAAAAACTGACTTCAGATTCGTAATCAGCGACCCCAAAAACCCCCGAGTGCCAATTTTCAAGTGAATTTAATTAATTTTATGAAATTTAGTCGCCATATTGGATCCGCCATTTTTAATTTTTGAAAAATATCATCGGATTCGTAATCAGCGACCCCAAAAACCCCTGAATAACAAGTTTTAAGCGAATTGCATTAGATTTTCAAAAAGTCGTCCGCCATATTGGATTCGCCATTTTGAATTTTTAAAAACTGACTTCAGATTCGTAATCAGCGACCCCAAAAACCCCCGAGTGGCAATTTTCAAGTGAATTAATATATTTTATGAAATTTAGTCGCCATATTGGATCCGCCATTTTGAATTTTTGAAAACTATCATCAGATTCGTAATCAGCGATCCCAAAAATCTCCGAGTAGCAATTTTCAAGTGAATTTAATTAATTTTATAATTCAGTTGACAAAGAATGCCTCATATATATATATATATATAAATATATATTTTTAATAACAATAATAAAAATTTATTCTTTCCTCTCTGTGTTAGATTAATAATTACTTGAAGGATATTTCGGAGAATAATAATGATATTACATTGATAAATATTGGTAAAAGTTTTGAAAATCGTGATATGTATGGAGTGAAAATTTCAAGTGGTGAAAATAAAAAGAAACCAGCAATTTTCATTGATGCTGGAATTCATGCAAGAGAATGGATTGCACCAACAACAGCTCTTTATGTTATTTCACAACTTGCAAATATAACAAATAAACATCTTTATCAAAATGTTGATTGGTACATTCTTCCACAAATAAATCCCGATGGTTATGAATATTCTCACACTGGTGTAAGTTAATTTGAAAAATAATTTCCTTCTTAATAAATTTGTGAAAATAAATCAAAAAAACTATTTTTCAGCATCGAATGTGGCGTAAAACAAGATCAAATACTGGATCAAAATTATGTCCAGGTGTTGATGGAAATAGAAATTTTGGTTATAAATGGATGGGTAAGAATTTTTATTTTAAAAAGAGAAAAAAAATAATTATAATTTTTTTAAAAATTTTTTTTCTTTTTTTTTTTGTAGAAGTAGGTGCTTCGAATAATCCATGTTCTGATACTTTTGCTGGAAAGAAACCATTTTCAGAAATTGAAACACAAAATGTACGTGATTTTGTTTTGTCAAAGAAGGGGGCAATTAAAATTTATTTAACATTCCACTGTTATGGACAGGTAATTTTTTTTTAAAATTTCTAATTACTGTATTTTTATTGAAACGAAAGTAACAATAAATTTTTTCAGTACTTGTTACATCCATGGGGTTATACTTCAGATTTACCGGAAAATGAACCAACACTTGTATGTATTTGTTTTTTTTTAGTATTTGTTATGAATTTACTAGATAAAATTTTCTATTTTTATTTATAGAAAGAAGTAGCGGAAAAAGCTGAAGAAGCATTGTCTGCTATTCGTGGAACTCATTATAAAATTGGAAGTTCGACTAACGTATTGTGTAAGTAATCGATAAATAATAATTTTTGTTCTTTTATAGACAAAAAGAATTTTTTTATAGATCCAGCAGCGGGAGGAAGCGATGATTGGGTGATGGCTGTTGGAGGAGCAGATTTATCATATACTGTTGAATTACCAGGCAAATCTTTTGTTACACCAACATCACAAATTTTGCCAGTTGGTACTGAAACTTTTGAAGCTATTAAAATTTTTGGTAAATACGCAGCAAAAAAATATGTCTAGTGATTTTATTTTTTTATACTTGTAAATAAACACAAATTTTATCTAATATTCTGTTATTTAATTTAAAAAAATTTTTGTATTCCAAATTAAAATACCTTAAAAAATTAAAATTTTTTTTATTAGATTTAGAAATAATTTTGCAAATCTTGTTTGATAAATAGAAAAATGAGAAAAATAAATAACTGATAAAGTGGATTTTGAAGAAAAAAATCTTTCGTGCGCTCTAATAGAATTGAAAGCACAAATATATATATAGTTAAATTCTCAGTGAATCCACAGAACAATCTTCTTCTACACCGTAGGTACAATAATCACTATCTACTGTTCTCATTTCCTTCAGAAGATTGTTCCTTACGATATCTAAGTACTAACTATTTCCCCTTCCTTGTGTTGGCTCTGAAAACACGCGTCCCATAGCAGAAGGATTTCGAAGCCACACTAATTAATTCCCCCTGGAATATATATATATATATATATAGTCTCTCTCTCGCACTGGTTTGACGTCATTTAAATTGTATAACGGAAGTCAACGAACGAGCAACTCCAAAACCATTTCACGAGAAATTACGCACATCAACCCCATAATTCACCAAATGCATAAGATATCTTCACTTTTTTTTTTTTTTGCCGCACTCACTTTTCTCATACCTTTTACTTTTTTCACTACTTTTCTTTTTTTTTTGGCCTTTAAGTGGGCGTTGCAGAAAAAACTTTTCCTGTGCACGTGATGGAGAATTATTTTTGGATGCCGCCAAATGATAACGCGACCCTAATGATTCTTTAATTTGTTGACTAATAGGTTCCATATGTTTCATATTTTACTGATTTCTCATTCTGGAAAAAGAAAATTTTTATATTTCTGGTATTTAAGGGAAAAAATTTAAAAACACTATTTTTAAATATCACTAAATTATTTTAGAGTTTCACCTCATGATATTCACTCTCACGTAAATTACTTTCGGATCTATATAATAATTTATCGCAACGGTGACGGAATTTTAGAAAAATTATGGAATTAATTTTATTTGTATTCGAATAGTCTTTAAATTTCTGAAATTATTAAACAAATTATGAAAAATTTGAACAAACACGGTTCAATATTAATTATTACTCTAGTTTTACGTGAAAATCGGTCAGAAATTAAAATAGCGCTGTATTTGCTCTATTTTTCGTAAAAGTAGAGAAGAAATTAAAATGGCACCATTGAAATTTGGTATTATTTTAATTTTTATTTTAGTGTCCTATAAAAAAAAGGGCAGAAATTAAAATGGCACCATTGAAATTTGGTGTTATTTTAATTTTTCTTTTAGTTTTTTATAAAAAAAAGGGCAGAAATTAAAATGGCACCGTTGTATTTTCGCGCTATTTAAATTTCTGTCCGATTTTTACAAAAAACCAGAGCGGAAATTAAAATGGCACTGTGTTTGCTCTATTCTTCGTAAAAGTAGAGAAGAAATTAAAATGGCACCATTGAAATTTGGCGACATTTTAATTTTTGTTCTAGTTTTTATAAAAAAAAGGGCAGAAATTAAAATGGCACCGTTGTATTTTCGCGCTATTTAAATTTCTGTCCTATTTTTACGAAAAACCAGAGCGGAAATTAAAATGGCACTGTGTTTGCTCTATTCTTCGTAACAGTAGAGAAGAAATTAAAATGGCACCATTGAAATTTGGCGCCATTTTAATTTTTGTTCTAGTTTTTTATAAAAAGAAGTGCAGAAATTAAAATGGAACCGTTGTATTTTCGCGCTATTTAAATTTCTGTCCGATTTTAACAAAAAACCAAAGCGGAAAATAAAATGGCGCTGTGTTTGCTCTATTCTTCGTAACAGTAGAGAAGAAATTAAAATGGCACCATTGAAATTTGGCGCAATTTTAATTTTTGTTATAGTTTTTTATAAAAACAAGTGCAGAAATTAAAATGGCACCGTTGTATTTTCGCACTATTTAAATTTCTGTCCGATTTTAACAAAAAACCAAAGCGGAAAATAAAATGGCGCTGTGTTTGCTCTATTCTTTGTAACAGTAGAGAAGAAATTAAAATGGCACGATTGAAATTTGGCGGCAATTAAATTTCGGATCTAGTTTTTCGTAAAAATAGGACAGGAATTAATTTGGCGCAAAAATATAACAGTGCCATTTTAAATTCTGCCCTTTTTTATGAAAAACTAGAACAAAAAATTAAAATGGCGTTAAATTACAATTGTGCCATTTTAATTTTTTCTCTACTTTTACGAAAAATAAAGCAAAAACAGCGCCATTTTAATTTTTGATCAATTTTTACGAATAAAAAGATCACAAATATAAATGGCACTGTTTTTGATCAAATCTTTACGTAAAACTAGAGCGGAAATTAATTAATTAATTTGGAGCCATTTTAATTTTTGTTCTAGATTTTTTTTAAAAAAAGGGCAGAAATTAAAATGGCACCGTTGTATTTTGGAGCCATTGCAATATGTGCTCTAGTTTTTTGTACAAAAAGGTCAGAAGTTAAAATGGCACTTTTTTTGCTCAAACTTATCTGTAAAGTTGGAGCAGAAATTAACTTGCGCAGTCGTTGCTCTATTTCTACAAAAAACTAGATCAGAATTTAAAATTTAATTTTAATTTCTGCTCTAGTTTTTGCGGCAAAATTTGAACAAAAACAGCGCCATTTTAATTTCTGATCAATTTTTACTAAAAACAAGAACTTAAATCAAAATGGCGCTGTTTTTGCTCAAAATTTTCCGTAAAACTAAAGCAGAAATTAAAATGGCATTTTTTTGTATTTGTTATCTTATTATTCGTAAAAAGTAGATCAGAAATTAAAATGACTCCGTTTTTTATCAAATTTTTCTGCAAAAACTAGAGCAGAAATCAAAATTCTAGTTTTTTTTTGTAGAAATAGAGCAAAAACAGCGCAATTTAATTTCTGCTCCAATTTCATGGAAATGTTTGAGCAAAAACAGTGCCATTTTAATTTCTGGCCTATTTGTACGAAAAACTAGAGCAGATATTAAAATGGCTCTAAAATACAACGGTGCCATTTTAATTTTTGCTCCAGTTTTTTAATAAAAAAGGGCAGAAATTAAAATGGCACTGTCATATATTTGCGCCATATTAATTTCTGTCCTATTTTTACGAAAAACTAGAGCTGAATTGAAATTACACTGTTGTAATTTGGCGCCATTTTAATTTCTGCTCTAGTTTTTTGTAAAAATAGGACAGAAATTAATTAGGCGCAAAAAAATAGCAGTGCCATTTTAATTTCTCCTCTTGTTTTACGGAAATTTTTTGACCAAAACCATCGCCATTTTAATTTCTGCTCTAGTTTTTCGTGAAAATAGAACCGAAATTAATATGGCGCAAAAATACAACTGTGCCATTTTGATTTTTGCCCTTCCTTTTTCGAAAGACTAGAACAAAAATTAAAATGGCGCCAAATTAGAATCGTGCCATTGTAATATCTGCTCTAGTTTTTCGTACAAATAAGTCAGAAGTTAAAATAGCGCTTTTTTTTTGCTTTAACTTTTCTGAAAAAAGAGGACAGAAATTAAATTGCGCCGTTTTTCTCTATTTCTAAAAAAACTAGATCAGAATTTAAATTTTAATTTCCGCTCTAGTTTATGTGGCAAAATTTTGAACAAAAACAGCGCCATTTTAAATACTAATCAATGTTTACTAAAAACAAGAACACATCTATTTTGGGGATATTTTAATTTCTGTCCCATTTTTACGAAAAGAGATTTAAAAAAAAAAAAAAAAAAATTAAAACCACTAACTAAACAGAAAGAATTAACAATATTGGAATTAGAACTCTAGGAGTCTCTCTTTTTTTCTCTCGTTTAACGGATAAAAGTTTCTTGTTGACCATTTGCAATCGATGATGCACAGTATGCAAAAGCAAATAACATTGCACACACATGACCCTAAGCCAGTTAGAGTTTCGCCCCTAAACTAGTGTGTGACGGTTCTCTTTTACTATATATATATATACACCCGTATTCTATTCCCTTTCCACATGAGCCTGGTCTAGTCGGCTTAATTTATTTTGTGGCTTGAAGTTACCTTCACTATGAAGTCTAACTTGTTTAACCGCCCGTCATGACGCGAAAGAGAGAGAGAGAAAGAGAAGGAGGGAGTTTAACAGTTTTCCACAGCGAACTTCTCTCGTGCTAGTATGGCTGGTTTTGCAAAGTGGTTTCACTGTAGAAGTTAGCGGTTGGAGGTTCAAAATGAAATTGACCGACCTTCCACTGTACTAGAGAGAGAGTGTGGACATTTCAACAATTCTTTCTGTCGCTATGCACTTTTTTTTCTACTCTCTTCCAACGACTCAATTTCATTTTAGCACAGACACAATTCATATAAATGAAATGAAAAAGATGATTTATAAAATAAATTCCTTCATACTTGAAAAAAAAAAAAAAAAAAAAAATTTTTATTACTTGTGTTGGAAAAATTTTAATTTTCACTAGTATTTAGGATTTAATTTTTGTTAATGAAAAAAATAAATAATAAATCGCATTCTAATAAATTAGACGATTTTGTTCATCAGTTATTTGAAATTCAAAATGGCGGATGAATTTTTAAAAATTTATTAAATTCGTTTGAAACTTGTTACTCGAGGGTTTTCAAGGTCGCGGATTACGAATTCGATGTCTGTTTCTCATAATTCAAAATGGCGGATCCAATATGGAGGAATTTTTTTTTTAAATTCATTAAATTCGTTTACAACTTGTTACTCGGGGGTTTTCGAGGTCGCTGATTACGAATCCAATGTCTGTTTTTAAAAATTCAAAATGGCGGATCCAATATGGAGGAATTTTTTTTTTTTAAATTCATTAAATTCGTTTGCAACTTGTTACTCGGGGGTTTTTGAGGTCGCTGATTACGAATCCAATGTCTGTTTTTAAAAATTCAAAATGGCGGATCCAATATGGCGGATTATTTTTAAAAATTAATTGAATTTGCTTGAAAATTGCCACTCGGGGGTTTTTGGGGTCGCTGATTACGAATCTGATGTTAAATTTTCAAAATTCAAAATGGCGGATCGAATATGGCGAC